AAAGGGCTTCTATACAAACTTCCCTGCAAGCACCTAGTAGGCACTGAATAAATGAATGAATGACCTGGATATAATACCAAAATATTTGCCTCTATTCCTGACCTCTCTCCTCAACTCCAAATTTTCATTTCTAACTGCTTGCTGGGTATCTCCACACAGATATCCACCTCAAACCTAACAATGTTCACAATCCAGATAATCATCTCTACCACCAAACCTGTTCTTCTTCCTGTATTATCCATTTCAATTATTGCCCAATCTTCTTCCCACTCAGCCATAAATTCTAGGTCTTTAACAATGTCTCTCATCTTCAATATTTAAATAACCCCAGTAGTTCTAATTCCCCCAAATTTATTCCCCCTGGAATGCCCTGTTTAGGCCTCATTATCTTTCAACTACACTATTAAAAGAAACTACTAACTGGTCATCCTTCCCTAAAAATTCCCCCCCCCCTTTTTTTTAAGTTTATTTATTTATTTTTGAGAGAGAGAGAGAGAGAGAGAGAGAGAGAGAGAAAGCAAGCAGGGGAGCGACAGAGAGAATCCCAAGCAGTGGGACTCACTCCCACCAACCATCTCATGACCTGAGCCAAACCCAAGAGTCAACCGACTGAGTAGTTTAGGTGCCCCAAAATTCCCTTCTTCAATCCATCTTTTTATGCAGCCACTCAAATTATCTTTCCAAAACACAGAAATGCTTGTTACTTCACTCACTCAAAATTCAGTGCCTCAGAATATTAGTCAAATCCCTAACTATGGCATTTCAAATATCCTGCAATCTATCTTCAAACACTGTTTCACTTACAGCACGTCCATCTTCCTCAATTAACCCTTTGCTCCAACCCACATGGACTGGCTACTGAATGAACACACCAGCCTATTTCAGTGTTCCACATCTTTGCTTAGAATAGTTCTTCAACCAATAATAAGCACTATCCAGCTGTGATTTTTTGAAATCCTTTCCAGACTTTTTTTTTTTCATTTTTTTAAATGCTTATTTATTTATTTTGAGAGAGACAGTGTCAGCAGTGGGAAGGGGCAGAGACAGTGGAGAGAGAATCCCAAGCAGGCTTCCCGCTGACAGCACAGAGCTTAACACAGGGCTCCATGCCTCGAACAGTGAGATCGTGACCTGAGTCAAAATCAAGAGCTTGATGCTTAACCGACTGAGCCACCCAGGAGCCCCTCCTTTCCAGATTTTAATATCCAACTCAAATGCCATCCTCCACTAAGACTCTGATCCTTTCCCTCCAGTGAAAACAAATCTGTCCTTTCCATAGTGTTGTCACAACACGCTATTTCACCTCATTTTAGCAATGATTCTATCCTGTCTAGGCTGTTAGGTGTCTACATGTATAACTTTCTCATTGGTTAAAGTGGTTGAACTTATTCATTCTACTCTCATTAACTAAGTATTATGCTTTGCACAAACTAAGCATTCAGGAAATACCCGCTGAATAAATAGGTAAGCCTCTTCATTTACAAAGAAGGGGGGAAAAAGGTAGAGATTAAGTAACTTGCCAAAAACCAGACATCTACTTAAATGCAGAATTTTTAAAAATTAGAACCTAAATCTTCGGTTTAGCTGACTTTACTCTGTCCATACTAAGTAAGATAAAACAGGTGAAATTTCTCACTCCCTAACAACAAAATGCCACCGGCTTTATTTCAAAAATGTTTCTTCTATTCACTTCGCAAATATGTTGCATTGACCCATGCGCCAAAGTGAAGAAGTACAAATTCTTAAGGCCCAAGTTAGTAATGTTTAACTTCCAAATGGTGCCTAAATGCATTTCAAAGCCTCATGAGCAAGTGGGATAAACTTTAACAGCCGAAGAACTGCATTCTTTTCTCTGAAGAAACGGAGGAGGAGAACTTGAACCTTGGAATGCCTACAAGGCTGTAAACACCCACAGCCCACAGCCTCGCCTTGAAATGACAGGCGAAGGAGAAGCTAGCAGCCAAAGCCCCTCAGAGCCGGCAGCCTTCCTTCTTCTAGACCCAGAAAGTAAGTGGACGTATGAAAGAAGGGGTAGCTCTGGGCTGAAATACCGAAGGCAGAGTCTCCTCGGCATCCTCTTTGCCCCACCGCAACGGCCTTAGTGTAAGGCCCCGAAGCCCGCGGGCAGGGCTCGGCTGCGGGTGCAGTCCAGGAGCCCCCGCCCTAGGGACTCGTTGACCCTAGCTTTCTCAGGACCGTCTTGTTCCCAAGCCCCGGCCCCCAAAACCAAGCAAATGAGCCGAAACACCGGCCCCAAAACGCCTCGAGGGGAAGGGCCGAAGCCGTTGGGCTTCAGACCGGCCGCTCCCGGGCCCGCCAGATAAGGGAGGGGTGCCCAAGGGGGGGGCGGTTTCCCTGTCCTCTCCTGAGTCGAACTCGGCCCGAGCCCCCGAGGGACCGGTACTGGCTCCCTCCCTCTCGGCGACCACCTAGCTGTGCCGCTGTGGCCTGGCCCAGCCCGGAGCTCACCTCCCCGTCCCGGGCAGCCTGCTAGCCGTCAGTCGGTCCCGAATTCCGTCCACACACAGCGTCTTCCGGCTCCCGCCGGAAGCAGCGGCAGCGCGGGACAGGAAGTTTGGCCGGCCCCCAAGGCTCACACCCACTCGCCGCCCCAGGCTGGACAGCTGCCGCCCCGCGTGGGGGTCTCCCCAAGGCGTTGATGGAGGGCTGGGGCCGGGCTGTCCGCGCTGGGCTGAGCCCCCGGACGCCAGGAGGTCTCTCGCTTCCTATTCATTCCCGACATTGGGGCCCCGTGGTCTACGAAACCCGAGAAAGGGGGTCAGTTCGTGCCAGCCGTGACGTCACTGCTTCCTTGCAGCAACAGAAGGGGTAGTTTTTCCTGTCAGCTGAGATCAGAACTAGTTACGACGGAGGCAAGCGAGGAAGAGAGCCCTACTTAAACATTTATCAGTGAAGAGGATCTCAAAGCTTCACTGACTGAGAAGGGAACTTGCAGAATCAGATTCTGCATTGCATACGGGACGGGGTAAGAATTGAGACTCAGGTGTATAACTTTTTTTGTAATATGAATTCTCCAGAGTCTGGGTTCCCTATGTTGGGATGGAAAGAGCTCTCGGATATCCACACCGCAACAGAACACTTGAGTTCCAGGCTGGATGCCACCACGTGTTAGAGCTTAATGGGGTTGACAGACTTTCAAATTATTAATTTTTGAATACTTGTTGTGTGCCAAAGGACGAGGAACTCAAGATCGTGGCAGTGGGAATTAAAGGAGTTCTCTAAGAAGGGTATTCTCAAGGTTAAACACAAGCCTTGATTTCGTAACAGGTATCTGAATGGGTGAGAGAGTAGTAGTTTGGGTGCACAAACTATGGTGATTTAAAAACAATGTAGAAACATGTAAGAGAAAGGCAATTCCACTTTAGATAAACAGAGTTTATCCCAGGTGTCAAAAGGATATTTTACTTGGAGGTCCCCAGCTCAAGTAAAAGGTCAGAAATAGAGGTGTAGATTTAGGAGTTATCAACATACAGACCTTTCTGGAGATGAAACAGTCCAGGAAAGGTATATAAAACAAGAAAGAGAACACTGAAGTCAACTGGAGTGATTGATTACTAACAAAATTTCAATCCACTTTCTACAAATGTTATAGACAAAAGTATATTGCAGGGTGTAAACAGGTGACCATAAACCAGCACAACACTTAGAAAAATATCCTCGATTTTATTGTTGTAAATGGTTGATTAAATTAATGAAACAAACCCTCTTATTTAGAGGTTCATTAATAGATCTTGAAACTCATGTTCAGAACCATTTGTTAATTTGTTCAGTCAGTCCTGTCATTTTCTTTTAAGTCCTGTCATTTGCTAAAACTGTCTTTGTTGTCTTAATCTTTCTAATCACCTAAGACTTCAAGTGATGTTTATATCTATTTGCCCTCGAAATCTTTACACTATGTGACAGTGTGTGCCTGCTAACCTAAAACAAACATGCTTTCGTCAATATATGAGTTTTTAGACTATACAGTAAATTATTTAGCAAAACACAAATAGATCATCCTCTAGTAAACTACTGTCTCCATCGACCTAACTGACCTCAGTTATTTATCTTCTCAACACAAAGCCTCTGCTCTGTATGCTAAAAACTGCTCCACAAGCTCTGGATTCCCCCAAAACCCCTACACACACTCTGCCATCTCCATCTCCACATGGAAAGGCCATCCCAATTCTATTCTTACACCAAATTACAGTTCAAGAGTTACGTAAAGCATTTCCAGGTCAACGTATATTTACAATGTGTCTTCTCAAGCATTCTATATATATTTCTTTTAATTTGAGAGAAAGAGAGGGAGAGAGAGAATCCCAAACAGGCTCCACGCTGTCAGCACACAATGCTGACACAGGGCTACATCTTATGAACCGGGAGATCGTGACCTGGGCCAAAATCAAGAGTCATATGCTTAATCGACTGAGCTACCCAGGCACCCCTCAAGCATTCTATTTTAAGTGAAAGTTATTAACTGTAAAAATCTGTTTATTTTGTATGATCTGCTAAAGAGTTACATCAAATCTCTATGGGTTTCAGACTGTCTAATCAAAACATCATATGTAATATTGGTAAAGGAAAGAAAAATATGTCATGTTGACTTCAGTCTATTATTGTAAATACTCATGTTGGATGCAGAGAACATATATGATATTGAAGATAAAGGAAAAAATGTTATCCAACTAGAAAATACTACCTATGATCACATTTTCAAATTAAAAGCTATCTGTACTCGGGGCACCTGGCTGGCTCAGTCAGTTAAGCATCCGACTTCAGCTCAGGTCCTGATCTCATGGCTTGTGGGTTTGAGCCCTGCGTTGATTCTGTGTCCCCCTCTCTCTCTCTGCCCCTCCCCACTCACACTCTGTCTCTATCTCTCAAAAATCAACATAAAAAAAAAAGCTATCTGTAGTCTAAGATTTTTTTTTTATGAAATATCTTAAAAATCTTTGAGTAAAATGGAAAGAAATCTGTGTATTTCCTTGATGAAGATGCTTATACATATTACAAAGAGGTTTCTTCTGAAATGCAAACTATCTGCTTTCCGATGTTACCTCCTGTCATCATGGACTGGAATGCAACTAGAAAGAAAACAAACAAACAAACTAGGTTATATGAAAACCTAAATGTCACTATCATACATGTTTATCAGTAGGTCGAACACATGCAATTAATTTGAATAATTTCTTCAATTATTTTAATATTAACTATAGAAGGAAATTTTCATGAAGAGAACCTGAAGTGAAATATTGGCAAAGCCACTAAACTAACTCAATTTACATCTTAAAAATGTGTTTTTACCCAAACTAGAAATGTTTAATTGGTATCTACCTCAGTGTTCACTGTTTATAGAATCTGAAGACTAGAAGCAAATAAGTATGTGGATAAAATGCCAGCACAATTTTTCAGTTACTATTAAAAATAATAGAAATCTAACCATAAAGTTTTACTAAGTAAAATATGCATGTTATGCCAGGAAAATGAGTAAAATTTAAGTTGTTTAGTAAACATATTGACCAAATGTATTAAATATTTTTTCCTAAAAAGGTAAAAAAAAAAAAGTTTGATCTAATCTCTTTCATTTTAAACAGACAAAAGAATGTTGAAATCTGTGTATGTTAGGGAAAAAAAAAACCCTAAATATTGAAAATCTGTTTAATATAATCTTATGATGTCTTAGAACGATTCAATCTGAAAAAGTTACCTAGGAGGTAAATGACTTTTGTGATACTTGTATTTTTTTTCATAACTTGTTTCAAAACCAAAGAAATACTTATTTGATGACTTGAAACGTGAAAACAATACTTTCTTAAATACCATTAAGCTGAACTTTAATGGAGTTTGATTAACATATTTAAGTAAACGTGCAGGATGGGTTTACAGGAAAGAAATAAATGATTTAAAAAGAAAAAAAAAAATGAGGGAAGTAGAAGTAAAGGAAAAAAGGGAATATTTGTGCTAAGCTCATGCATATGATAAATAAACCTACATTCATCTTACCTCCCATGTTTTCCAATCCATTTACCACAGTCTCTTTAATCTGTAAGTCAAAATAACCAAATATAGTATTCTTTAGACTTCATCATGTCTATTTAAAGTTGACCATTTGAACAACACGGGTTTGAACTGTGCAGGTCCATTTATACACAGATTTTTTTTTCAATAAATAAGTACTGTAAATGTATTTTCTCTTCCTTGTAACTTAATAACATTTTTTCTTTAGCTTACTGTATTGTAAGAATACAGTATAAATTACATATAACATACAAAATATGTGTTAGTCAACTGTTTATGTTATCAGTAAGGCTTCTGGTCAATAGTAGGCTACTCGTAGTTTTGGGGGAGTCAAAAGATACATGGGATTTTCAACTGCATGGAGGGTGTCAACGCCCTTAATAACCCCTGAGGTGTTCAAGGTCAACTGTAATATTCTCCATGTTGGCAAAGAGCAGTAATACTATTTAGCACTTTCTGTCTAAAAATAGATATTCTTCATTTCATGGACATAGCACAGAAGTTTCCTATTGAAAGATTTTTAAAAATAAAATCTTCTTAAAAAAAGAAAATCCTCTTTTCCCATTGTCTAATCTTCAACTGGCAACATCACAAGCTATCCCCTCTTTTCAGAAAACAAGGTATATGAACATAAGCACACGCACATGTAACTTTGCCTGTCATTTGCAAGTTTCAAGAACATCCCAGGTCAGTGTCTCTAGACCCCAGATGAATAACTCCTGATTTTCAGCCAGCAACCAAGAAATGTATCAGGCTATCAGGGATGGCAGGAAAGAAGTATAGTGATGGTGAGATAGGGGTACAGGGAGGTGCTTAAAAGATTTTGAGGAAGCACAGCTTCTAGGGACACCCGGCTGGCTCTGTTGGTTAAGCTACCAACTTTGTCTCAGATCATTATCTAGTGGTTTGTGAGTTTGAGCCCTGCATCAGGCTCTCTGCTGTCAGCATGGACCCTGCTTTGGATCTTCTGTCCCCCTCTCTCTCTCCCCTCCCTCTCCCTCTCTCTCTCTCTCTCTCTCTCTCTCTCTGTCAAAATAAATAATAAACTTTAAAGAAAAGGAAAGAAAGAAAAAAAGCACAGCTTCTAACACATAGTAGCATTCCATAAATATTTGTTAAATTAGTGAATATTAAAATTTGAAAAAAAACACCTGTTTGTCTTGTATTATAATCTAAGAAAAGTAAAGGTTAATAAAATTTTAGATAAAGCGACTGACAGTAGAGGGTTTCTCAATTAGGAAGTTATACTCACCTGAGAGTAAACTTAATTTACAATATTCAGTGCAATTTTGTAGGAATTCCTATTACAAAGCTAATATGTTCACTATAATAAATTCAAATAACACAAAAGTATATAATTATGTCAATATCAATGATATTGATAAAAGAATAGAGGCAAGTTCTACCTTTAGCTTTCCTTCTTTAAACCACTGACTCAGCTGTAGAATGCCAGACTCAAATTTGTCCTTATAGTTTAACACCAGAAATCTTTCTCTGTAGTGGGGAAGAAAAGGATAATGATCAGAGACTATGGAGGGTTAAAGAGCTCAAAATCAAATCATTCCAGAACTCTAATATTTGTTAGTCTTTCAAACATGAGGACTTAATCACACAGAATCAGGCCAGATACAGTTTTAGGTGTAGTTACATGTGTAAGTGTAGCGGGCTTCTATTGTTTGGTCTGGCTAGCATTAAAACCCTGTTTGGTAATTAGCACTGTGATTTTACTTTGTGGGTAATATCCTTTCCCCACTCTCCTGTGACCAAAGCCAGGCCAGTCGGAGCCAGTATCAGCTTTGATAAACCTGAGAGGAAGAGAGCTTTCTGTTTTTGCTTGGGTTACTAACTTGGTAACATGTAAGACTAGAGATAACAGTCATCCTCTTGATCTGCTGCAAGAGAAGAGCTTGCAAAGGAACAGAGCCAACCCAAAAGAAAGCACAGCCCAAAGGTAGAGAAAAACTTGGTGATGCCACTATGCAAACCTTATGTCCAGCCAATACTAATACCGGACTGCTCAGAAACGTGAGCCAATAAATTACCTTTGCACTTACGCCAATGTGAGTTGAGTTTCTATCACTTGGGGAAAAAAAGACTTGCGAAAGATTGATAGAACCAATATGTTTTTTAGAAAATTTTTTGCCAGGGGGCGCCTGGGTGGCTCAGTCAGTTAAGCGTCCTACTTCAGCTCAGGTCATGATTTTGCAGTCTGTGGGTTTGAGCCTGTGAAGGGCTCTGTACCGACAGCTCGGAGCCTGGAGCCTGCTTCTGATTCTGTGTCTCCCTTTCTGTCTACCCCTCTCCTGCTCATGTTCTGTCTCTCTCAAAAATAAATGTGAAAAAAAAAAAAAAGTTTTTGCCAGGGCTCTAGTTAACAAAAACCTAAATACTGAAAAAAATGTCCATTTTCAAGTTTTACTTAATAAGGAAGAATTATATATGAAAAACACTACCATTTCATATACATCTATGATCTTTAAACTCATGAATCTGGTAGTAAGGGGAAAAGGGTGGTCCATACCTTGTGATGTTTCTTTCTTTTTGGATTGCTTCTACAGCAGGGGGTAGTGGAGGAGGATAAGGCACATCTTTGTTGTACTGAGAAATCTGACCACACAGGATGATATGGCTGTTCTGATTCATCTGTTCAGGAAAAATTGATGATTATACCCTAAGATATATGCCTTTCCTATGTTTACTGATTTTATGGCTGCCTCAGCGAAAGCCTCCTTGACTACTGTAATTTAACCCTTTGGTGCCAATTAATTGATTTTGCTTTGAAGATTTACTCCTTATATGTATTTAAGAGTTTTAATTAGCCAGGAAACAAGTCCCTTCCAAAGGAACAGAGGTAATTGAGAGTTTGGTAATGCACAAAAGAATTACACCGGTATCATCACTGTTGTTGCTACTGTTAGTAGCAGCAGTAAAGTATTTCCTTGCATTTAAATAATTTAACCTTCGGGTGCCTGGCTCAGTGGGTTAAGCATCCAACTTCAGCTCCGGTCATGATCTCGTGGTCCGTGAGTTCGAGCCCCACGTCATGCTCTGTACTGAGAGCTCAGAGCCTGGAGCCTGCTTCTGATTCTGTGTCTCCCACTCTCTCTGCCCCTCCCAAACTCATGCTCTGTCTCTCTCACTCTCAAAAATGAATAAATGTTAAGAGAATTTTTAAATAATTTAACCTCAACTGCAATATATGTGTGTGTGTGTGTGTGTGTGTGTATACATAGTAAAGGACAATGCCGTGCTAATAGCTAATGTTGATATTTTATAACATTGTCAATAAAAATATGTAAATAACTGGGGCGCCTGGGTGGCTCAGTCGGTTGAGTGGCCGACTTCGGCTCAGGTCATGATCTCGCGGTCCGTGAGTTCGAGCCCCGCGTCAGGCCCTGTGCTGACGGCTCAGAGCCTGGAGCCTGCTTCAGATTCTGTGTCTCCCTCTCTCTGACCCTCCCCCGTTCATGCTCTGTCTCTCTGTCTCAAAAATAAATAAATGTTAAAAAAAATTTTTTTTTTAAATATGTAAATAACTATAATCTATGAAAATCGTTTCCCTACCCAAAGTCAGAGGCCATGGCTGTGAGTTAGTTGATGAGGAATTAGGGTCAAAACTTCACCACTTGAACAACACAACTGTAATTTTTTTTTTTAAGATTTTATCTTTAAGTAATCTCTAACACCCAACGTGGGGCTAGAACTCACAATCCCAAAACCAAGAATCCCGTGCCTGACCAACCAAGCCAGCTAGGCACACCTACCTACAACTATAATTTTTTTTTTTAATTTTTTTTTTCAACGTTTATTTTATTTTTGGGACAGAGAGAGACAGAGCATGAACGGGGGAGGGGCAGAGAGAGAGGGAGACACAGAATCGGAAACAGGCTCCAGGCTCTGAGCCATCAGCCCAGAGCCTGACGCGGGGCTCGAACTCACAGACCGCGAGATCGTGACCTGGCTGAAGTCGGACGCTTAACCGACTGCGCCACCCAGGCGCCCCTATAATTTTTGATAAAAATAAATTGCAGGTGAAAAATACAATACTGCTGTCAAAGAACTGAAATTGATGCTCATATGCAAATCTGCAAGCAAATGGAAGTAGCTGTCAGCAAGCTCTTCTGCATCACTAAATTACAATACTGATCATTAACATTATTTCTCACAATAAACCCTACAATTCTATAGGTTTTTTTCGGTATCAGGTAAAAAACACAGCAAATAAAATGTAGCATTCAAATTTGTAACAAATTGGCAAACAACCTGACTTATCACTGTATCACTGATGTCACCACCAACATTGTCAAAGTAAACATCCACTCCAGCTGGACAAAATTCACGGAGCTGTTCTGCCACATTCCCCTTTTTATAATTAATTGCAGCATCAAAGCCCAGTTCTGAGGTCAGAAGGTGGCACTTCTCCTGTGTTCCACAAATTCCCACCACTCTGGAACAGCCCATCAAATGGCCAATCTAGGGGGGAGATTTTAAAAAAGTAAACTTTCCGTTGCTACATTTAAGTGTAAAAATGTGAGTATACAAGATATCACAAGTATATGAGAGTGTTCATCACAATTTAAGTTAGATTACAGGACTTTGGCTAAAAGTAATTTGAAACCAAAAGAATTAAGACCAGATATAATGCCACTGCTAAAAAACAAATTAGGATTGACTAAAATTAGACTTAGTCTGAATGTTAAAATCTCACAATTTAAAGCTGATTTCAAAAAAGAAGTAGACTCAAAATGTCACTAACTTGCAATTCAATATTTCTCAGGCCTATGATAAAATATTTTGTTTCAATAAAGACTGTTAGTCATAAAACAATATACTTTAAAATTCTATTATAATCTTTACTGTATTTCTAGAACCCAGTAAGTGCTCTCTTACTTGAAGATTCCTTTTAAAAATATGAGTTTGTCTTTTAATTCATGTCATGGAATTCCAGATAGGTACTCTATGGGTTTCTTCCTTATATTGATTAGAGCAATGCTCTAGCATTTACCATGTCTATTTCTGGTTAACAGAGAACAAGATACAAAAATCATTTTCCATATCGTTATGAAGAGAGTCTAAGCAGGTAATAACATCATTCCTACCAGAAATATATAATATTATACATTTGTTCAATTTTATATTTTAAATTATATACATGTATCCAGAAATTCAAGTTTTTAGAAAATCAAATAGTTCTCAGAAAGTTTACCTGCCCAGCCAAGGATCCACAAGCACCAGCAGCCCCACTAACAACCATTGTCTGATTAGATCCAGCAGTTATATGACCTTTCTCCTGTATCCCAATCAAGGAAGTCAAACCAGGCATACCTATAGCTCCAAGAAAGTATGAAAGGTGTCCATTTGCAAGTTGTGGGTCTACCTAAAATAAAATATCTAACTTTAAAAAATAATACTAGAAATTCCTATTTTAAATCAACAAGGCAAAGAAAAACCTGTTATGGATTGAGTTGTGTTCCCCCAGATTCTGATGTTGAGACCTACACCTTAATATAACTATATTTGGACACAGGGCCTTTAAGGAGATAATCATGGTTAAATGAGGTCATCAGGGAGGGGCCCTAATCCAACAGAACTTGCATCCTTATGAGAAAAGGAAGAGACACCAGAGGTCTTTCTCCGCACATACACAGAAGAAAGGCTAATGCCCTGTGAGGACACAGCACAAAGGCAGCCAACTACAAGTCAGGAAGAAAGACTTCACTACAAACCAAATTTTCCATCACCTCGATCTTAGACTGTGAGAAAATAAATTTCTGTCATTTAAGCCCCCAGTCTATAGTATTTTGTAATGGCATTCCAAGCAGATTTTAATAAACAACCTGATATGGTTTCTAGAACAGTGAACCATTCTTCAGTCTTGTGAAAATTCTATAATTTACTTGTACAAAGTAAAAAACAAATAAGTATTACTTCTCTTTATAGTAAAAAACAAAAACTTTAAAGAATTCTACGTGAAAGACACTTACCATTCTTTCTTATCAATGCCGCCAAGTATATTTAAAAAAAGAAAGAAAGAAACACTTAAGGGGAAAACATGAGGCAAAGTAGGAAGGTTTTAAAACCTCTGAGCAATTCCAAGGGGCCTGGGTGGCTCAGTCAGTTGGGCATCTGGCTCTTGATTTAGCTTATATCATGATCTCATGGTTCATGAGATAGAGCCCCTGCTTTGGGCTCTGGGTTGTCAGTGCGGATCCTGCTTGGGATTCTCTTGCTCACTCTCTCAAAAATATGTAAAGAAGCTTTTTCAAAGAAAGAAGATTCTGGGGCGCCTGGGTGGCGCAGTCGGTTAAGCGTCCGACTTCAGCCAGGTCACGATCTCGCGGTCCGTGAGTTCGAGCCCCGCGTCAGGCTCTGGGCTGATGGCTCAGAGCCTGGAGCCTGTTTCCGATTCTGTGTCTCCCTCTCTCTCTGCCCCTCCCCCGTTCATGCTCTGTCTCTCTCTGTCCCAAAAATAAATAAACGTTGGAAAAAAAAAATTCAAAGAAAGAAGATTCACCACATTAATTTGATTTGATTTGATTTGATTTGATTTGATACAAAATGGCAGTTTGTATTCAGCAGTCTTAAATGGCCGTCAGATCTAGTGTGTACAAAAAGGCAATCAAGGTATTAAAGTCAACAATACTTAGGTCTACAGTACACAAAAATATATCATGTAGGTAATATTTATTGGTAAATCCAATATAGAAACTTTGGGAGACAGGTTTGTGTTTAGCAAATATCCTTTCTCCATCCCTTCTGAATTCCTTTTCATTTCTAATAACTGTGCTGAAAGCATTCTGAAGCTCTCCCCAACTGCCCCATTTCCCTCCATAGCAAAATGACAGGGAAAAACCAGAACCTGCTGAATATTTCTTCCTGCTAAGAAGTTTCTTGTTAAATATATTTTACTGGTATCATTAAGTTGAAAATTATTGTATAACATCTCCCACCTATCGTTTGTATTTTAACAGTCACCTTTAACTGATTATAAGAATTCATAATAACAGGGCTGCCCAGGTGGCTCAGATGGCTAGGTATCCAAGTCTTGATTTCAGTTCAGGTCATGATCTCATGCATGGTTCATGAGATCTCTCTCCTCACCCCCCTCACACCCTCTCTCTCTCTCTCAAAATAAATAAACTTAAAAAAAAAAAAAAAAAGAATTTCTAATAAAAAATACTAAAATTTTATAAAGCTTTTTAGAAAGCGTTAGTCATATTTATCATAGCATTTAATTTCCACATTCAGTTGTGAAAGAGCTACTATTTTCATCTTGCACATGAGGAAACTAAGGTTCAGAGACATAAAATAACTTCCCTGATGACATAAATTGGGTTGCATTACATGAAGCTGCCAGGTTTTATAGGTCAATACAGACAAGTATTGGTAATTTCACATAATTCAACTAACAACAGACACTGAACTCAGGACTTTTGATACAAAATGGAATTTTAAGTACAAACCAAATGAGTTTAAGTCAAATGGCAATTTCGTAGGAAACTTTAAAGCATACAACTATGGCTTTTATATATGTAAAAGTCAAGAAATAAATTAAATATGAAAAACAACACTATTCACTAATAATCTAAGAACTGTCATATAGTTATGGCCAACAGTGGAAAAGAAACAAAGGTTTTCCACATTTTAGCAGCCATCTAAAAGAAAATGTCTGCTTTTATTTTTTTTCCCTGATAACACACTGAACCAAATGCCAAATGCACAATGATTTATAGGGAGGGGAAGACCCAGATAGTAGAACCTTGGATTGTGAGTAACTTGTTCTACGAGTGTTCCACAAGACAAGTAAACATTTCTAAAAAAATTTATTTGACTTGATAAATGAGCGATGTCTTGCAACAGGAGTACTACATGATGTCAAATGTCACACGATCGCAACTAAGCCAACGATTCTTGAAATTCCCTTTGATATACGAGTGCTATGGATTACAAGCTTGTTTCTGGAATGAATTATGCTCGCAAATCAAGGTTTTACTGTACTGTATATTATACATCACCTTCTCAAGGCTGTTTCCATTCAGAATAGCCTTGGTTTGCCAGGGCCAATAGAAAGAAGTCACAAAATCGCCTTTAGTAAAATGTACGTGTTTGCTTTCTTCTACAATCCCAATACCTCCACCATCAACCACTTGAGACAGCTGCCAAGGTGTTATATAATCACTGCCAGTGTCTTCATTCATTCTGCAACGCTAAAAAAAGAAAATGTTGATGAGGATAATTCTGCCTGATAATACTGGCCAGTTTGTTAATTTATCGGGTGACTAAAAGAAAGGTATATAGTCAGTAATGTTAAGTAAAGTGTTAAACAAATTAAATTTATCTTAATTTCTATCTTCTTTTCAGTTATTCTTTATCTTTAAAAAAAATGTATCCCCTCTCTAACAAGTAAAGAAGTATAATTAGAGGGGCGCCTGGGTGGCTTAGTCCATTAAGAATCTGACTTTAGCTCAGGTCATGATCTTGCAGTCCATGGGTTTGAGCCCCACATCGGGCTCTGTGCTGACAGCTCAGAGCCTGGAGCCTGCTTCAGATTCTGCCTCTCTCTCTCTCTGTCCTTCCCCTGCTTGCACTCTCTCTCTCTCTCAAAAAAGAAATAAACATCA